TGAAATTTGGACGGTATAAATTTGTTTTGGATTATTTTAATTTAAATTTCTTAAACGATAAGTTTACTTTTTTCTTTTTGCTAATTAACAGTTAAATAAAATATAAAAAAATATAATGACATGACCCCATGGGAGAAGGTGCAAAAAACGCGGCAACGGTGAACTTCAACCAGGAAGGAGATATTTTTCAAATGAAGTATTCAATGAGATTTATTGTTTTCTTGTACAAGTTCCTAATTTAAGAAGTCTTCAGATTTTTTATTTTGAAAAAAATTTGCAGCCACAAAATTAATAATTCAGAAGGTTCCAGGACCAGGCCCACCGTCATATGCTTTGCCTTCTGGGATTGCACATTTTATGTGGTTCACATTCTCTTGTACTGCCTTGGCACCCAGAATAGCAGTAGCTAGAAGGGCTAATCTACTAGCGTTGAAGATGTATTACATATCCTCAGGGATTGTGAATATGCGAGATCCTTATGGCTACAGTTATTGAGTCTCAGATTTCAGTCTCAATTTTTTGCAACTAACTTGTGTGATTGGTTTGCTCTTAACTTAAGAAGAGACCTTGGGAAGAATGGTGATGGTAATTGGCCTTACATGTAGGGTGTCTCAATATGGAAATTATGGTTATGGAGAAATAAGGATGTCTTTGTTGAAGATTTCACCCAGCCTCCGGACCCAGTTCTCATAATAAAGCATAGTTGGTTGCATTATGTGAACATGCAGGTTGCTAAAACTGAGCGCAAGTTTCCCCAGGAAATTGATTCTCGTTGGAGGGCTCAAAATCAACGTAGATGGTGCGGTTACTAAGTCTGAAAGCAAAGCTGGATGTGGTGGAGTTATCCGAGACCATAATGGGGTCTGGGTGGCTGGTTTTAAATACTCTTTAGGATCCTGCAATGTTTCAAAAGCTGAAAAATGGGCAATCTTTAAAGGTCTCAACCTTGCTTGGGAGCTTGGATTCAAGAAAGTTATTCTTGAATCAGATGCAAAGAATATATAGTGGACATGATGATAAACGGTATTAGTGATGAGAGTTGTAGCCTGTTGATGCTTCAGATTAAAAGGCTAATGTGGTATGCTTGGGAGCTGGAAGTGCAGTATATTTCAAGAGAAATAAACAAAGTGGCTGATCATCTACCAAAGGAAGAGATCACGGAATCATCTATTTTAAGTGGGTGTCCTATTAATTTGAGGAAACTAATGGATTAGGAGTGTATGGAATATAATTTAGTCCCCTTGGTTAACCTTTTATTAGTCTTTTAGGCGTTAAGCCTTCTTTTGTATCAAATATATATATGTGTGTGTGTGTGTATATATATATAACATCATAATATTAAGGACTCAATTATCATAATAAGACAAAGAAATTGAATATTTTTGTTAAAAGCATTATTTATGACGCAGTTGCAAAGGAGTGCATATAGAGAATGTGGTTTGAGGGGGGGGGGGAGGGGGAATATAATAATATAAGTGGGTGAATATTATATAAATATGGAATAAGTGATGGCATATGAGCTATCAAAAGTGTTGGCAAGTTGTATGAAAAAGAGAAACAGTTAATTTAACATGCGCATATGGTTATGGAAGGATCGGAGGAAGTTGATTCACGTGGTGGTCTTGTGTCGAATATTCGAATATGATGCGTATACTCCTAATTAATTAATTCTCAGAATCTCTCTCGTGGTGTTGAATTATTGCGTGCTGTGTATGTGATGAGCATTATGTAAGATTTTGTGTGTTTGTGCGATCGATAGCAAAAGAATGACCACACATTCGATCATACAGACATCAACGACAAGTTGTTCCAATAGCAGCGTCATGTATTATACTTATATGATGTTTCAAGCTTAAGTCTAATATTGTTATAATGCGTTTACGTGACAATAAAACAATAGCCCAGAAATGATGAGTAAATTTTATAATATATTAATATTTCTAGTCTTTAATATAAGGCCTTGTTTGACTTTTATTTTGGTCTTAAATATAAAACCCCAATCCACTTTGTCTCTTATATTTATGTATTTTTTCTCAATATAGTCCTTTTAACAACGGTCGTTCTAACTAATACACTTGATTAGCAAGAATAATTTAGAAAAGACAACACCTATTTATTACAAATAACTAACTTAATTTCTTTTCTTAATCTTCTCAAATCAGTCAACTGGATCTTATAAATAGGATCAAAGGTAGTAGTTGTTAACAATTTTACTATAAGGTGATAACTGATCATATCAACAATTACATTGACAATTGCCCTAGCACAATCAACAACTCTAGTATAAGAAATTAACAACTAATTAATGTTATGAAATTAGTATTTAGAATTGTTTGTTAAAAAGTTTGGAGTTTAAGTTTTAGTGTTAAGATACAAATTTGTCTCAAAAATTTTTATTCAGGAATTCTGGTTATCCGAAAATTTTTTAAGACCAAATTTATCCTAAAAGTTTAAAATTGTAGTAACATTGTCTCCTTACCATTAAAAAACTGATGCTAACAGTTAACATTTTTAATGACAAGGGGTAATATTGTTACGATTTTAAACTTTCAGAGAAAACTTATTTAAAAAAAAACTCCTGAATATCCAATGTCTTTGAATGAAAACTGTCGAGACAAATTTACACATTAACCCTGAGTTCTATATATATATACACTCACATATAAAAAAACCTGTATAAATTTGTATATATTTTTATCAATTAAATGGCTTCAAAGGTTTTGTGGTTATATTATGGGTATGTTTGGGTCAGCATTTGCTGACCCAAAAGCAACTTAAAATGAGCTTAAATTTTAAAATAAGCTGGGTTGCAAATCGGACCTGTTTGGCAAAGCTTAAAAGTAATTGGGCCTATGTTAAAAAAGCCTATTTGAACGCCCAATTCCTATAAGCTGCAAGAAGGAGCTTATGACTTAAACCAGAAGAGCTTTTGGCGGAAAACAAAAAAATCAGAAGAGCTGTTGCCCGTTCTGCGATGTCAGGTCTTTTTTTCCTCTCCCATTTGCCTTTTCCTCTCACAAGCATCATTTTCGTTTCCATTTTGGTTTATTAAAACTCAAAAAATATTTTTGATTTTTTAAAAATTTTAAAATTTAATCCACTCATTAAATTTTATTTCTTCATATTATTTTATTTTAATTTTATTTTATTGTCTTAAATCAATTTTTCATCATGTTTCATTATTTATTAAAACTCATGCCCATTTTGGTAATTTTTCAGCCAAACTTACTTTTACTCAACTATAATCCAAACAAGTTTTTACCAATCTCACTTTTGTAAACTAACTTTTCTGAATTCCAATCCAAACACAATTCAGCTTATCTAATTTAACTTTTATCAATTTCACTTTTTCATAAGCTACTTTTTCTATAAACTGCTTTTCCAATCGCTGATCCAAATGGACACTATATTTTGGGGCAGAAGAGATCACGGGTTCAAATTTTATCGCAGGATTGATTACCTTCAAAAATTCACTCATTGTTGCCGGAAGTCTAGAAACTGAATTTTTTAAACCTTAAAGGTTTTTTTTAATAAATGTATACAAAATTTATTTATATTTAAGACCTCAGAGCAGAGTTCACAATAATTTAATAATTTTAAGTGACCTTGAACAATTTTAGGATATTATGTGATACTTTGAAGCAATTTGTTCATATCTATCGTATTCATATGAATGAATATATGCGATAACAAGGTTTTAATAATAAAAAGTTACAAAAAAAGGTTGGTGTACGTATATATGGATAGTTTAGGTGTTAGAAAATGCCAACACGATCTGAAACACATGATTAAACATTAAATAAGAACAAAATTGTAGGACTACATTTACAGAAGATCCATCATTTACGAATCTTAGACTGAGGAATTCTCCATGTGACCACATTCACAACAAATTAAAAAAACACAATTTTGTCAAACATGCATAATGGAGTCCTGTAATTTATTTAAATTAATTTTCTCACTGTTAAAATGCATATTTCATATTTTTATAAGATGTCAAATTCATTGTGATTCATTAACTATTCATTAGTCCCTAATGGAACAAATCAACATACACAGACGTTGAAAGATGTTTAATTAATTTAAACGTCTTTAGTGCAATACTTTTCGTTACTTCACAAGCTTATTACTTCCGGGTAGGGATCGAACTTCTTGATCAATTTTAATTTTTAATCAATTTTAACAAATTTTTTTATTCATGTAATTTAATTATTCGTATCTTATATATGAGATCATATAGAATATATTGTAAGGAATTATGATTTATGTTTATAATTTAGAATATCAACCATATGACCAAATTTTTTTCCTTTCGAAACGTAAAAATATTGAGAAAGATACTTCTTCTGGAGAATAACAGAAAAATATCTCACGAATTTCAAAATGACAAATATGTGTTTTTGACAGATTTTGACTTGTCAAAATTATGGCAAGAGTAGTCAGTTTAATCCATTTATTTTTTTAAAATTCAACAGGTATGTTTCTGTTATTTTCCCTACTTCTTATGTATATTGTTGTTATCCAATTTGATGTTTAATAAAGTTGGGCCGGGCTGGAAGGAAAATATAGTTGGGCCAAATTGTGCAAAACAAAGTAATTGGGCCGATGTTCCGCATTAACGAATGTCTCATCTGGACTAAAGAAATATTCTCATAAATCGGGCCCAAAGACAATTCAAACAACTTCCCATTAGCAGTTTTAACAGGCCATCACATATTCCACCAAAAACAAAATATCGACTAAGTTGATTTTTAGGGACTCATTAGCCCTAAAACAGTCCTGAAAATTGAAAAAAAGTTTTTGAAGATATTTATAAAGGAATACTATTTTGTTACTTGTTGATATGATTTTTTGTTTTTCTATTTTTAATTTCCATGCGAAAATACATTATAATGGAATTAGATAAGTCCAATACAAGGTACAAAATTTAATAAGTAAAATTTCCTACCAAAATTATGGTAAGTTTGGATCTATTGATTTAGGTATAGGAAAATTCTTTCTAAATACAACTAAATTTTATTGGATAATATTCATTCCAATTTTGTCGGATGTCCCCAAAGGGACTTATTGGATAATATTGATCTATGGTACTTCAACTACTTTATCATCTCCTACGTCATCATTTACGGCACCGTTTTGATTTACCTTTTTAATCACATATCTTTTCACTAGTTCTGCTCCCCAATCCCATACATGCAACACCACGTACGTCCCAATTCCACCAATCAAACCATAAGCTATAGAATACGTCAACGGCGTCAGTATTATCGTCATGAACGCTGGGATCGCTTCTCTCATGTCATCCCACTTAATCTCCACCACACATCTCATCATCATCACTCCGACCAAGATCAACGGAGGCCCGACCGCCCACCCTGGTATGGATGCCAACAGCGGGGTAAAGAACAGTGCCAAGAAAAAGTACGTTGCAACAGTTAAAGCCGTTATACCCGTCCGTCCTCCTTCTCGGATCCCCGTTGAGGATTCGATGAATGTTGCCACCGGTGAAGTGCCGAGGAGTGATCCAACCACGGTGGACGCAGCGTCGGACATGAAAGCGAAATACTGACCTTCGAAATCACCATTGAGATCAACAAACCCTGCAAATCTGGCCATTGAATATAATGTACCTGTTGTGTCCAAAATGTCCACATACAAAAACGTGAACAATGCCTCCCAAAAGCTGCCCTTATCCAAACCCTTAAATTTTAGGACACCTACTGTGCTTTCAATCACGTGCACCTCAACTACCTTCTTAAAGTACTCATACCCTGAGTCTCCCTCCTCTGTCTTAGGAAATGCTGTTACGGATGTGTTACGGAACCACGATATTGCGGTTACAAAAACGACACCGTATATCATGGCGCCTTTAATGTTTTTCACTAAGCAGTATGCTATAATTACAAACCCAACCATTCCAAGCCACAACGTTGGACTCTCCATCCTATTGTTCAAACACAGTATGTTATCCGAGGCGGAGCTACCTGGGAGTAAACTGACAGTTCCGTTGGCTGCTGTTATGACCGGGGCTAACGCGGCCCGGGAGGATCTCGGGCAGGCTCCGAGTGTAACTAAGGTTGATGGGCTGTACCCGATGAGCCCAATTCCTTGATTGTTCTGAAGCCCAATGAAAGCCAGAAAGAGACCGATTCCTGCAGCGGAAGAAATTCGGACTGGTCTGGGGACGAGTTTGGCGAGTTTGGCACGAAAGCCGACGGCGGAAATGAGGAGGAAGAGTAAGCCTTCCATGAAGATGGCGGTCAAAGCGGTTTCGTAGGGTGTATTACCCGAGCCGTGAAACCCGACTACAGAGTAAGCGAAGTAGGCATTGCCACCCATTCCCGGAGCCAAAGCCAAAGGAAGGTTGGCAGAGAGACCCATTATAACACAGCCAATGAGAGACGATGCGGCGGTGGCGACGATGAGGTCCTTTCGGGTTTTCTGGAGGCAAGAGGCGTAACCCGGGTTAACCGGCGGGAACTTGCAAGAGTCGTCGGGTTGTATGACACGCTGGCTCGGCGCGGTGCAGCGAGAGAGGGGAATGTTAGGGTCGGAGCAGAGAGGCAGGCAATCGGAGACACCGCAGGTGCCACCAGAGTCGGCAAGGATGCTGGCGTTGACGGCTAGAATGTAAGCCATGGTTAGGAAGGTGGCGGTCCCAGCTCGGAGCTCAGTCGTGAAGGTGGTGTTTCGCTCGGCGAGCTTGAACCGCTTGCCAACACGGCTGTTGGCCACAAAGGAGTTAAGCCGAGCCGAGAGTGATGGCTTCTGCGCTTGGAGCTGAACCTGAGCGGCCATGGATATTGCTGCAAGGTCAGCTTGCAATACTGTGTTCTCGAGCGATGAAGGAGGCGGATTATGTTGATGTGTTGCATTGTATGGGATATAGTATTTATAAATTGGATTGGGTGGGCGTTAAGATGGAGCCCACAATGATGGGTCCCACCGATTCCATGGATTAGAATGAGACGTACGAAATTTCTGAGAGCTTGAGAGAGCTATAGTGATGAAGGTATGAGATTAACGTTGAAAAGCGGAAGGATATAGGAAGGAGAAGCCGGTAATGGCGTTGATGTGATATTATAAATCTTCCACGAAGAGGACTAGAGTAGCATATCTTTACCAAACCAGCTGGTTATGAAGCGGACTTTACTAATCCAAAGTTGTCATCATCATTAACTATATTTACCTAATGAATTAAGCATAATCATCTTCTATCATATCCTATCAGCCTAACTACTAACAACTTCAAATATGGCCAATGTCGATTTTTGGGACTAGAACTAAGTCACACGCCAGGCACGTTAGCTAAGGATGAGGCGCTTTCCATTCAATTTCCTATTGCTCCCTCAGGTTTTAAATAATACTACCTCTGATCTTTAATATAAGATCTTGTTTGACTTTTATTTTAGTCCTAAATATAAGACCTCAATCCACTTTGTCTCTCATATTTATTAATTTTTTTCCTAAGGTGGTACTTTTAACAATAATAATTCTAACCAATACACTTGATTAGCAAGGGTATTTTAGAAAAAACAATACCTATTTATTACAAATAACTAACTTAATTTCTTTCCTTAATCTCTTCAAATTAGTCAATTAGCTCTTATAATAAGGATCGGAGGTAGTATGAGATTTTAATCATCTACATCACAAATAATAAGACTAGTTAAAATTAGTTAAGTTAATTAAATTTAGGGTTAATATAATCTATGGTCCCTTAAATTTCATCTCATTTTGATTTTGGTTCCTGAAATCAGAAATTTTGATCTCTTAAATTTGACCTCATTTTGGTTTTAGTTGTTAAAATTTAAAATAAGTGGTTTTAATTCTTGAAATTTAACCTCATTTTTAATTTTGATACTTATTTCAGGGACCAAAAACACTGTTCCAGGGGACCAAAAATTTTTAGGCAAACCAAAATGAGATCAAATTTTAAGAGGTAAAACTAGTGGTTTGAAATTAATTTTAGGAAAAACCAAAGTGAGATCAAATTTTAAATTTTAAGAACTAGAAATGGTACTATCCCTTAAATTTATAACAAAACTTAAATTTCCCTCTTATACGGTGATGTATGATGAGAGGCATTCCACAAGACATTTAATTTTCTTTTACCATAATGAACACACCCATCATACTACCTCGGTTCTAATTATAAAATCTGGTTGACTAATTTGTAAAGTAAAGAAATAAATTAAGTTAGTTTTTTATAATAAATATGTGCTGTCTTTTTAAAATATCTTTGTTAATCAAGTGTATTGAATAGAACTACCATTATTAAAAGGATTACCTTAGAAAAAAATTATAAATATGAGAGACAAAATGTATTGAAAGTCTTATAATTAGAATCAAAATAAAAATCAACTAAGGTCTTATATTAAAAACTGAAGGTAATATCTCTTATCGAGTATTAGGACAAATAATAACCTTGTGCTTAAACTTTTTTAAAAGGAGTGTTTAATGTAAATTGGGTAATTACAAACCCCAAGAACAAGATGCACCATCTTTATTTCAAAATATTTTTTAAATGTTTCAAAATATACATTTTATGGAAAAACAATGAAACTTTTTATGATTTATATTTGAGAGACTAGAAAGACTATTTTATTACAACACAAAAATATGATCATTACTAACTTTAAGAATTAAGTGATTGTGGGCGCTGAACTTTCCATCTCAGGCTTTGGTTAGCAATTAGCTGAGGATAAGACATTTCTTTTTAAGAGAAATGTGCCCCCCCCCCTCCAGGGGGGGTCTATCGCTTCTTTAAAAAGAGTTTTCGTTGCTTTTATTTTCTTAACTTTTTGCTTTAAATATATTTAAAAAATTAGGTTTGAAAAGTTGGCGTCTTTATGAAACCATCGCACATCTGATGAATTAATTAATCTAACTAATTTTAATATGGCTAATGTTAATTAATTATCAGCAAAGTTTCAATTAATAATCAAGTGATTCGTCTAGGTTCAAATACTGAACCCCTAACAAATTGGGACCCATAATTAAATAACGATAAATATGATATCCCGATTCACAGCTTAGGGAAAGACAAAGGGATTAATCAAATGATTATTAGATAAACAGGGGCAAAATCAATGGCATATATGTATAATGATATTAATTGTTTAATTCTTGAAATTCATTCTCCCACTATAAGAAAAAAAAAGAATAATATATTCATTGAGTGCCAGGTGCGACTTGTCAAAAGTTAGTTAATAGTTTTAGTGAAGGGTTGTTTTAGGAATACTACAGTAATTTTGAGGAAATCTATTCCATTATCTCTTAATCAAATATAACCATATCTTTCCTAATTCATGTGATTCACGTAAAAGTGCCTTATCCTTGAAAAAATCAAACGGATATATCATTACCAAGATATAGTTTTTTTGGGGGGTCAAAATACCAAGATATAGTCAGGTCAAGTGAAAGAAATCAATTTTAAATAGCAAAAAAAAAATCATATTAAGATAGTTATTGTTTATTAGGTCTCACACTATAATTAAGTCTAACAAACATAAATTAACGACGTTAAACCCACGTTAAATGTTTCCGGAAATGGTAGTGACACACACATATATACATCCTTTATCCACAGAAAACGATACGTTTGCACCAACCCTACGCACAGCTGCCTTAATTAATTATAAAGTTAAATAAAGTGTTTGGCCAATATAATTATATAATAGAGGAAACCTCATTTTTCTTGCTCACACACACACACGGATACACTATATATATATATATATATATATATATAATAAAGATTCATGCATTTGTTAAGTGGGGATTAAAGTGTTATGATTAAGATTAATGTCGTATTGCATGCATGAGCTAGCTTCGACAAATCAAATCACCAAAATTCGAAAGTGTAATAATTAAAACCCTCTTTCTGTGCCTTGCTTTGTAAAATCTAACCCTTTAAGTGCGTTCCTTTTCATTGTTCCTTGAAATGTGGGTCACAGATAAAAGTTTAGGGTTTTTCCTTTTTTCCCCTTTTGCTGTCACTTTCGGGTGATGATCGGGCAGCAAACACTGTCTTGTTAAAATACCCTAGAGTCCAAGCCGACAATGGCACTTTTGATTCATTAATATAAATATTGATCCATATATATTACTCGGTCTTTGATATAAGACTCAATTAATTATTTGAGGAGATTAAAAAGACTGAATAAATGACTTTATCCTCTGAAATACTCCTCTAGTACTCTTTATAAAACAGAGAGAAAGAAAAAAAATTTATGTTATTTGTAGGGGAAAGAAAGAAAATTTTCATATAAATACACAACTTTATCCTTTATTTAGTATCGTGTTGATTTTGTTCTCATGAGGTATATTATATATCAAATAGAAATAAAATTAGAAAATGTTGAATTTTTAAATGAGAGTTGATGAAATTAAAGTTTTTATTAGTTTGTTGAAATATATTAGAAGTTATTTATAAATAGAATAAGAGAAATAGTAGTTATGTGTATCATTAAATTATATATCAATTTATAAGTGAGGTAAATTAGTTTAGAAAAAATGATAAATATAAATATTTTAAAATAATTTATTTAGTTTTTTAATCTCCTCAAATTAGTCAATTGGATCATATATTAATGACCAGAGGTAGTGATGTATTAATTAGTTTTTGAACTAATAACATTGACTTGCTGTGAATGAAACTACTTTAATTTGGTGAATGAAACTACTTTAATTTGGTTGGCTTTCACTTTTGTGCATCACAGTAACATAAACTTTTTTTAGTTTGTTTGTGGGATTTGCCCCTCCCCCCTTTCTCTGCAGAATTTCAAAAGATGAAAATCATTTCGCACACGTAAAGTTAAAACCCATTTTCCGTAGCTAGTGGCTCTCGTGCTTCAGCTTCTCTCTTAGTCACTTAAAAAAGTGAAATTAATTGCTATTTCCACGAAGTAGTGGAGTAGGCACCGAGCACTTGTGATTTTATTTTGAGAATCACTCACCATTATCGATTAATTCTGTTTCAAGTAACATCATATCAGATTCTAAATGGGAACAGCTTCAAAGCACATATAGCTTCTTTCCTTCCTTCTTTTTCTTTCATATCGAAACTCTTCCTTTCAAATAATAGTATCCAAACACCATTGGCAGCATTTTTTAAATTTTTATTTTTTTATTAAATTATATGATATCCCGTACTATTAGGTTTTGATTCGACATGAATTTTGACAATTAAAATCACCACATCATATGACATACTATCTCCAGTCCTAATTATAAGAACTTATGTAATTAGGAATTAGGACCGGAGGTAGTATAATGCATGAAGAATTTCAAGGTGTAATTAGAATCTAGAGAATACTCACGTATACCCATATGGAATTACAAGACGGATAATATATTGCTATACAGCACATAATATCGAATGGAAGAGAAGACTACTCAAAGAGAAGTTACAAGGCATTTACTTTTAGTATTTCTCCGGTCCTAAATATAAGACCCCTCATACTATGAGGGGTCTTATATTTAGGACTGGAGGAATATCTGTATAAAGTAACTCTCAAACTGATCTTAACCGATATGTCATGTATGGGAGGTTAAAAGGATTTACATTTTAAACAATAAAGGTCATAGTCCTCTCTAAGCTCATGTATTTCGATATTCAATATAGTAACCCCATTTATATTAGGCTTGAGCTCTAATCCGCAAAAGGTGGATTAAGCCTAACACAATTAGGCATGTAATGAGATGTGATTAGGGAATTTCAAAGTTAGTTGGGACCCAAGAAAATCGGATGAATTTAATTTGACAAATGGCTTTGAGGGCAGCTAATTTTTTGG